AAATTTTGTTAGCTATGGGGCTGCGCGCGCAAGGAGCTCCGCTATGACCCTGCAGTAGAATGTTATCTTCTCTAGGGGGTACCCTATGTGGCAGGCATTTGTAAGGGAAAAAAGAAGAGGAATAAACTGAAGGTGCGGAGAACGCTCTTTACGTACTCGCAGACCGTAACTCGCCCTTTCTTTTTCTCTTTAAATACCTGCCATGTAGGCTATTCCAGGTCAGAGTAGCATTACCCTTAAGTGCTGAGTTAAGCTCTGCCTGGTTGGGCTTGTGGGCCAGTAACAATGCACCTTTATCTTTTTCTTCTTTCCATTAAGGATTATAATACTATTTTGTTGCAGGCATTTTTACGGCTGCATTTGACAGTGAGATTGAGTGGCTGCTGGTTAAAGGAATTGCTGATTTTGCAGATGGTGCTCACATGACTACAGAGAGTTGGTGTTCCTGTGCCAGTGTGATGGCGGCTTCTCTGGTAAAGCATATCCTGGGCAATCCTGCTGTTTTTCGTTCTTGGCCTCATTTTGATGGTAATGTTAGTGTCATAATTATGGTTTTCGAAATCCTTACTCTATTCTACTTAGTTCTGCAACACGCTTTTGTTAACAGATGTAATTACTTCATTGATAAAATAACTCCCGGTTCATGATTCAGCAATTTGACTCTAATTAAAATTTATGTCTTATTTCGCCAGGATACTTTGAACAGTAAACGTGAAGCATGTCAATAATTAGTGTAGTTTTATTGCAATGTACTTGTAATAGTACTTGGTAGAAGCCTCCTTTCTCATCAAATGGTTTATGTTTCTTTGAACAGTTCGAGCTTCCAAACCATTCGACCTAAAGCGGTGTCAAGATCAGCTGCAGACATTCTACAACTCAATGAACATGGTACAAATCACTCCATGGAACCCAGATGACAGGGTGCACATTGATGAGGTGTACACGAATCTCTCATGGCTGAGAGATCATAAGACTCCCCGTGGTACGAGTCAGAAGAAACTCAAGGACTACGGCGAGATTTTCCAGGGCACCGATCGCTTTCCAAACCCCAAACGAATCCTTATTTATGGAAGACCTGGGATAGGGAAGACCACTTTCTCTCAAAAAATTGCTTTCGACTGGGCAAATGGCCGAAAAGAAATCTTGAAAAAGTTCGATGTTTTGTTGATGATTAGGTTGCGAGATGTTTGTGGCTCAGAAGACTTTAGAGCTGTTTTAAAGGCTTCCAAACTATTGGCCGCCGATGACTCGATCACCGTTGAGGACCTGCATAATTATATCCTTCAGAACCAAGATAAAGTGTTACTAGTCCTAGATGGCTATGATGAGTACCATGCTGGAGCCTCGTCTCCCATCGACCGTATAAGGGAAAGAGATCTTCTTAGAGATTGCTGTGCTATTATGACTACCCGACTAACAGAGATTGACAAGGTGAGGAGGTCAAGTGACGTCCAACTGGAGATCATAGGTTTTGATACTGAAGAGCAAGTTATAGAATTCGCCAGCAAGTATGTCGATGGTGAAAAAGAAGCTTCGCAACTTGTAGAGTACTTAAGAAGAGAGAAGATTTGGCATATAGCGAAGTTTCCATTGCTTTTGCTAATGATGTGTCTAGTTTGGAGAGATCGACAATGTAAAGGATTGCCCAAATCAAAGCTAGAGCTCTACGAGAGATTTGTGGAGACCCTGCTTTATCAAATGGCTTTAAAGGAGTCGGGCAAAAGTATGAAAAGGAGCAGTAACGTCGTTGAATTCTACAGAGAAGAGTTAACCAAGATTGGAAAGCTGGCTCTAGATGCTCTGTTACAGGGAACCCTTTATTTTCCCCTCAATCAGATTCATACCGAAAGTAAAATACTGAGCGAAACAATGATCCGTTCTGGTCTTTTCCAGATTTCTAAGCTGTCTAGTGCATCTCCTGATGAGATTGTCTGTTTTCTTCACAAGTCAATTCAAGAGTTCTTGGCAGCCTGGTTTATAATGCACGAGGCAGGTCTCAAGGATGGAAAGGCAGACTGTTTGTCAAGCATCGATTCACTAAGTAAAGTTTCAAAAGTGAAGGAAATTCTTGTGTTCATGCTGCAGTGGTCAGAAGAAAGTGCTAAAGCTGTATTTAGTCTTCTTCAGTTGGTAGGAGAAAAAGAAGGTTTGACAGAATACAACTTTGCCGAGGCGCCTATCACTAAAGATTTGCCAGAGGGTCAAAGAAAATTTTGTACCTTGTGTTTGGATTACTTTCAGTTCTGCCCGGTCGCATACATGCAGGCTGTGTCTCCACTGTTCCGAAACAGTGTTCACGGTGTTGTAGTGGTAGGCAGGGATCAGCGACGTAGCATTGCCGAAAAGAAAGTATTGAAGTTTTTAAATTCATGTAAACCGAACTATTTATTGTTCGAAAATTCAAGCTCATACGGGGATAATCATTACATCTTCTCCATGATGTGTGATTTAAAAGCTGTTTTTGTAACTTGTTATGGCGAAACCAGGTCTGTGAATGAATGCATGTGCCACGCTTTTAGTGAAGATACTTTCTGCCTAAAGAAAGAAGAACAAAAAATGGTTCTCTGCCTAGTCCTTGTCAATGAGTGGATGCTGAACCAGTTAAAACTACCCAGAGTACTAACATCATCAGAGTCTCCACAGACTTCTCTTGAAATGCCGTCTATTCGCACAACAACAACATCACGTCGGGTTCAGAAGCACTCTCTATCATATGTCAGGGAGATTATACTTATGATTTCGAGTATCTCTGGTTTACAACGTGTGAATGTGAATGGTTTGTTAGCTTTTCTCAAGAGACCTCAAGTGGTGTTTATTCGTGCACTTTCTCGTAGAAACACCTACCCTGGTGTGTTGACACGTTGTTTTCCTGAGGTTTTCGCTTATTTTACGGACAATCTCTACAGGCTAACACTCAATAACTTAAATTTAACAACTGCTTGTGTCTCTGAAATCGCCAGGTCACTACATCAGGCCCCCAAGCTACGACTGCTTGACTTGTCAGATAACAGGTTCTGCAGTGCGGAACGTGACATGGCAAATGAAGATAAAGAGTTCCAATTACTTGCCATTTCACTCAAATATTTGGTACATTTACAAGTGCTGAGGTTATCAGGAAACCCTCTTGGTCGTGGGCTTATTCATGTAGCCAAAAACTTACACAGTATGCCTCATCTGACTGGGCTGAGACTGTCTAAAACACAGATGGGTGAAGAGGAAGTCTTATCTATAGCCCGTAGTTTACAAAATGTTTCTCGCTTAACGGTCCTTGATTTGCATTGCAACAAGCTAGGTCGGGGTATTTGTGAGTTATGTCAGCACCTGCACAGTGTTCCTCACCTGACCGAGCTGAACTTGCGCGATACACAAATGGGTGAAGAGGAAGCCACAGCTGTAGCACGTGCACTGAAGGATGTACCAGAACTGGAGAAGCTTAACCTATCCAAAAACCCACTGGGTCATGGGATCACTGAACTGAGCCTGCATCTCAGTAGTGTTTCTAAGCTGACTCACCTATTCCTGACTGGGGTTCATATGACAAGGGAAGAGGCCAGTGAATTGTGTACAGCGGTGCGTGGAAAGGAGATCTCTCTGGACACAGATTACCATGTACGTTTTTATTTTTCACTTTTATGAATGTTCTATGTATTCTTTAACTATTGCGTGATGTTGTTCTTATTATTCAATCTCTTTTAGTAAATTACATGTAATAACTTTTATCAGGAGCCTATGATCTTGATTTCGTCGATTTTTTTTTAGTGGGGGAGTATATGGATTTGGTTAATTTGCTTTATTCCTAGATGTGGGGCAAAAAACGGGTCTACGAGTTTTAGACGACAGAGTCCAGGATTGAAAAAAGGACCTTGTTTGAGCGACAGTTCACTGTCAAATAGGACATATAATCATGAAAAATATATATATATATATAACAGGAGTTTCCTCTGGCCTTTATTTCCGTGCGAAGCCATTGCTATGAAAATGAAATTTAATTCTCATGCAAATGAAACTCATTATCACCTGAAAAGTTTTGCACTTAGCCCACGTTTTGAAGTTGAAGGTTAGTATCAGAGATTAACGTTTCCATTCCTGAAATGAGTAAATTTTGGTAGCTTTCATGACTAGAGTCTAAAATGGCCGGTTATTTCTTTGAGACAAGGAGTCTGAAAAGACACGTGTAAGGGAACGATCTGCTACGGAACACTTCTCATTGCCGTTGCTATGTAAACGCAATTGCTGCCATCCACTTTGCACATGTTCTCCGAATGACCCGTTGTCCGTATTAAGCGGGTTTATTTTAGAGAAGACATATGAGCTGTTCGCCAGGACAAACGAAAGTGTCCGCTGTACACGGGCGTCCGTGGAGCGGGGTTCCACTGTTTTCAGAAGTTTTGCAGTTTTCCATTAAAGGAAAACAAAGGAGCTTAACATTTTCAGGAAACCGAATCCACTTTATGTTACTCATCATTCGCTTGATTTTTGTTTTTCGCTAACGCATTTAGGTCTGTAATTATGACAAGAGAAACTGGCGAGTACGCCAAGGGCTAGATTAAAAGAGCGATGAAAAGGAACTTTGGAGGAGATTAAATATGACAAGAGTGAGAGACAAAAGCATGGGTGATTGCGTGAAAAGCGGTTTGGGCACAACTCTTTGCAAATATGGTATGTATATTTTAAAAGTAGGGCACCCTCAATTTTCATCAGTGAAGTCGTGGTGAGCGTTTTCCTATTTTCACTTCGTTAGTTCGTTTTGTCGTTCCATTTATCATTCCGTCGTATCGCGGTCGTCCCTTTTCACCGTTTCTTTGTTTCGATTTGTCGTTTTAGCTCTTGAACTGCGCTGGACTGTAAACAATAGCGCTGTAATTCACATAGACAGTATGTTTCATGAGAGTGTTGGCCAATTTGCCAGAATACCCGCGACCTTGCCGGAATCATGGTCTGAAGATTTCATACCATGATTGTTTTCTCCGTTTTAGCCTTTGTCCACACGTAAAGGGCGTGTTCGGGCACCAAAAGCGTAGGTTTTCAAAAACGGTTCCCATAGTGGGGGTTTTTAAGTTTTTGAAAAAAGCCGGCGTCTCGTTTACAGTGGACGGATGAAAACGGAGGTTGATGTCAAACATCGAACATTATAAAATTATACTACTAGCATTACGCATGCTTTGTAAGGGATTTCCATCGTTTTAGCATTTTCATGTGGACAGGCGAAAACGATTCTAATACGCTACGTGAGGACGCGTATATTTTTGGAAACTGGGGAAGAATCTTCATACGGCAAAAATTTTGCTTGTGCTACATCTTTTAAAACGCTTATAAACGCTTATGCAGCAAGTGACCAAATAAAAGCCCACTTCCAAATAAACGCCATCTCTACGCCGTTAGACGCCCCTCTCTAATGAACGCCCCCCTGTCTAATAGACCCACTCTGAGAACTGCTCCAAACTACTAGTGATTAGCAAACATAGGCACGTTTAACGAGCATGCTTGAGCTATTTTAAATGCTTCAGTGTAACCGTACCAGTAATCTACTATTTTAATCCTAAATTTAGACTATTTTGTACATTGATGAAAACACGAGACGCTGCCCACAGTTGCGTCGATCCTCATACTATAGGTTCACTTTTCTTTGTCTTTCCTTCGGACATCTTGAGCGAAATAAACAAATTGTTAAAGTACTATAAATATCAACTCACCAAACATTGCTCAGAGGGAAGACTCGAAGGTTTCTTAATGGTTTCTTAAGATAATGTGGTTCGTCGAATACCGAATAGTTCAGAAATGTTACTGTTTTCATCATCGTTGTAGAGGATTGCATCATCATTATTCACGAGGTTGCCACGTGCAATTCTACTTCATGGAACAGTCTTTAACTTAGATGACTTGATACTACAAGTGTTATAAGTTAAAGAAAAGAGTCTTCACTTAAGGCACTGGTTACAAAACTAAAGAGGTCTTCATACGGTCAACTTACTATTATTTACTGTGAAAAGCCAGTCTGCGTGAGATGTACAGTCAAACAGTTTGCACGTGAAAGAGTAGGACTTTCGTGGTTCGTACGTGAGGGAATTCGCGTTATCACACAGTAATCTAGCACATAAAGATGTTGGATATTGGCCTTTTAAAATTCTTACGTAAAACAATGCAAATTGTAGCCTTCCACGCAGAATTTCTTAGAGGTTCTTGCCCCACAAACGTCTGCTGAACCGAGTGGTAAAAAAGGTAAAAAACCTAGACCAATCAAAGAACACTTCGGATCTGGGAAGTGCACGCACGAGACTCAGCTTAAGAAAAGATCACAAAAGGTCTCATGAAAGGTGAAGACCTTTCAACAGGAGTAAACTACTCAGTTAACTCACACGCCTGGAGGCTACCCTCACAAAGTCATTGAAAAAAATTACCTCAGAGCTTAAATTTGCCGAACGGAAGTCGGCCTTACTACAAAACAAAGTACGAAAATAAAATTCGGCCCCTCACTCAAAGAACAACTTTATTCACCACTTGCACAACTCCCATAATGCACCTTATTTGCCCCCCAAAATTTTGCGTAACCTTTGTTTTTCATTTCTCCTGGGTATTACAGCCGTCTTAAGAGAAATTGAAACAATACTTATGCAAAATGAACAACTTTGCTACAAGACTAAGCCAGAAACATAAAAGATATTCTGACATTCATAAACAGATACAGTGTGTACAATCCGGTCGCAGTCCACAAAACTTTAAATTCAATTGGGTTGACTCCCAATAATTTATGTTGTCACCACAGGAAAGACAGGATTGGTAAAAAAAAGAAAATTGTGAATTGATATAGGTTGAAAATTCATTACCTGAAATAAGAAAAATTCTTTTAACTGCATCAATGACATTGTAACATTTTATCATAATACCATCTTACCTAATGATTCATTATTTGCATCTTTTTTTTTTCTTAGAATGGAGGCCACCAGTTTATGATACACAAAGAAAGAAAACCTTTTGCCGGAACAATTGCTTTTCTATCAGGAGATAATCTTGGCTTTCAGTTAAGTGGAGGTTTCAAGGAAGGTCCTGGTGCTCACACTAATATAGACATTGCATGGGTTCATCTAATGCAATAAAATCTGTGGTGAGATCCATGTGTGTCATTATTTTTTTAAGTCAGTAATTTAAACATGTGCAGTAATGTTACATGTAGGGTGGGAAAGAGAGGGGGGCATTTCATTACTGAAATATAACTTCATTCAGGGGCACCCAACGTCAATTTTCGGAAAATATCTGTTCGGAAGAAGATTTGAGATCTAGAATTTTCGAAACATTTGTTGAAACATTTTTGCTTGCCTGCCTCTCCTAGGATTTTCAGACATCTAAAAAATGGTATAATTGCCCCTTTTTCAACGGATTTTTACCCTAACAAAGTCACCTGGAATTTTTCGGGAGCCTTTTTTCTGGCTGAAATTTTCGCAAAGGTAAGTTTTGATCTTTATAATTTTCGGATCACTAGACTTTCAGCTAGGAAATCTGAACAGATGAAAAATTTTCAGGGGATAAAAATATGCCTATATCTACCGTTTAAATACTAAAATACGTTCAACAATGCTATGTTTAAGTGGTTTTGAACTATATTCTCGATGGATGCCCCTGTTCATTTACATGCAACCATCATCCTAATAGGAGAAACGATTGCAAAATTCTGTGCCTGTTGAATGCACCTCAATTTTTTATACTGTGCTCTGTACCTATATAAATATTCTTGTTTATCTTCTCAGGACTGATCTGCCTTATTGTTATTCCTAACAATCGCATTAATTGTTTATTCATCTAATTATCTCAGTCCATAAATCCGTATGTAAAAGGTAACATGATACTTAAATACAAATGATCAACTGTTCGACGTAAATGTAAACAATAAATAAAACCCTACTTCCATCTCTTGAAATTTTATATACAATATAATAGCTGAAATTATTATTTTCTTGGTAAAAAACGTAGACACCAATAAACTTTATCCAACGCTGGCAATAATTCAGTAAAACATTTTACAAGTGTGAATTTACACGTGTGGCTACGTTTTGTTGACTTAACAGCAGAAGTGGCTTGCTTTAACATCCATTCCCGAGAAATGTGAAGCAACTATCCTCTAAAAAATGAAGAAAAACGCTGGCAATTTTTTGCCTAAACAAAGAATAGTGTAAAATTCTTGTAAAATAATAATCCTAATCATATAACCCATAAAACTGAATGCACATTTTCTATTTTATTTCCACTCAATCCCTTGGCTTACTTGTGAGAACCATTTCAAACTAAACCCCCATTCACACCAAAGCTTAAACATGTTTAAAAGCTGTTTAGTAAAACACGTTGTTTCCTTGATTAAAGCTGCTTACCGACTTAAGTTGATTGCAAATTTGTGCAAATTACAAAACTTATTGAATGTCAATCCTGTGTGAAGACCTGTGTTCCAGTATTCCGTGTCTCGATTTTCACTTTTTAAAACCTAATTTAATTAAAGATGTTCAGTTGACAGGTGTGAATGTGGCATCAGATTTTAAGACGGAATCCACCAGGAAATTGAGTAATTTTAATTCTCTGTGGACAAAAACCTTGTACCAGAAAAATTTAAAGAATATTCCATCCTTTTTTACATTTTTCAAGGGCTAAATATGTAATTAGTCATCTGTAATAACACCAAAGACAACTTCGCATGGACGTCCGAGAAAATGAATTGCAAATCTCACAAGAACTGTGAAAACACAGGTAAAATTCCGAAAGTTTCACGTGTACGATGTAATTTTGTGAAATTTGACAATCATTTTGTCTGGCTCCCATAAGAAATTTTCTTTGGTGATATGCTCCCCTCCACGTGTCGCCTTTTCTCGCGTTGGGTGATTTTCGCTCGCTCTACTACCCCTGAGGACAAATGGGGGACTACTCGTAGTCTACCATTCACGCTAAAAAAAAGTAAAGGAGTGAAAATGTTCCGTCCATATTAACGGATATTATCATTCCAAGCGCGTTCTAAATAATATCACCATCCACGCTAATCCGGATAAATTTCGGTCATAGATTTGGTAAAGAATGTTAACGTTTCCCAATCGGGCGCTGACTCGGCTCTCAAGTGACTATTAACGCCTCTTTAAAAATTTACGCCTTTTTCGCCGACCGTTTTAGTTTGGAAGGTACTCTACGAGCAGTGGTTTCTCCAGGCGTCCGGCCTGGAGAAACCGCTGCTCGCAGGGTATGTGGAAGGTGAGAGAAAAAAAATTCTATATCCGTTTTGGTGTGAACGGGGCTTAAGAATCAGGCTAGCCAGACCCCGAAATAGCATCACAGTAACCGAGCAGTTTTGTTCACAAAGGCGTTGGCTGGCTGGCGTTTAAACACCTATTTCTTTGAGACGTCAGCACGCAGACTGACAATTTCCCTGTCTACTTTGCTTTCTTGATGTTGAAGACAAATATTCCACTCAGGACAAAATAGACAGCTGTTACAAGAAAGAGTATGATGTAGCCAAGACCGATGTCACATCTCAGCTTTTCAAACATGTCTAATATGATACCTCCAGTGGGTGTGGCTATAGCTTGTGGTAGAACTAAAGCCTGTAAAAACAAAAATAGACATATTCCAGTCTCAACATGGACAATTCTAAGATTTCAGTGGGTAGTTATTTAGCTCGAGTCTATTGAAAAAAATTTTATCTGCAACCAAACAAATGAAAGTTGCTTTGGCATAGCCTGCGAGCAACTTCTTCATTTAGAACGGCGGGAGAAGCGGCTCGCATCTCCTTTCGCGTGCCGCGGCTCACGCGTGACTTCACGCGGATCCCTCAAATGGAGAGCTTGTTTGCAGGCTACTTTGGTGAGGTTTACTCCCCCGTGCATTGTACGCTCGAGTCCAAGGATGAAGCGTAGAGTGATCATTTATAATGACTGCTGTTTAGTAGCAGATGTACTACAGCTTTCCTTTTTCTCTTTTTTTTTTAATTTTGGCATTTGACAACATAACGAAATTTCAAAAGACAGCTTTGAATACTGCTTTCCAACCACGAAACCTGTTTTTACATTAGTAAAATTTTACTCACTCACCTGATGCCAGACTGCCAAATCTTTGGCCTTTTCTCTGTCATTAGGAAGTACATCCATTACAAGCGCAAAATCTACAGCACAGTACGCTCCAAAGCCCACCCCTGAAAACACAAGGGAATTCACATACACTGTCAAATACAACCAATAACTACATCAACATCAAGATTTGTGCGAGGGGTGGGGGTGTTGACAATCAGCAAGAAATTTTGGCCCATGAGGATTTGAGCTCTTTTCTTNAACCAAACAAATGAAAGTTGCTTTGGCATAGCCTGCGAGCAACTTCTTCATTTAGAACGGCGGGAGAAGCGGCTCGCATCTCCTTTCGCGTGCCGCGGCTCACGCGTGACTTCACGCGGATCCCTCAAATGGAGAGCTTGTTTGCAGGCTACTTTGGTGAGGTTTACTCCCCCGTGCATTGTACGCTCGAGTCCAAGGATGAAGCGTAGAGTGATCATTTATAATGACTGCTGTTTAGTAGCAGATGTACTACAGCTTTCCTTTTTCTCTTTTTTTTTTAATTTTGGCATTTGACAACATAACGAAATTTCAAAAGACAGCTTTGAATACTGCTTTCCAACCACGAAACCTGTTTTTACATTAGTAAAATTTTACTCACTCACCTGATGCCAGACTGCCAAATCTTTGGCCTTTTCTCTGTCATTAGGAAGTACATCCATTACAAGCGCAAAATCTACAGCACAGTACGCTCCAAAGCCCACCCCTGAAAACACAAGGGAATTCACATACACTGTCAAATACAACCAATAACTACATCAACATCAAGATTTGTGCGAGGGGTGGGGGTGTTGACAATCAGCAAGAAATTTTGGCCCATGAGGATTTGAGCTCTTTTCTTGTTTTGTTGTTGTTGTTGTTGTTGTTGTTGTTGCCTTCAGATGTGGTCTCAGAGGGAGCTTTAATTCAACCGTAATAACCAAATTATGCAAACCAAGCTTGTTAGTAGGTGAAAAAGCTGCTCTAACGGAAAAAGTCTTGATTTGTATAGATGCGGACATCAACCGAATATAAAAGTATAAAGTTGTTAAACTTCTCACCGAAAGTCAAGGCCACTGGCATTGCTGCATAAAAAGCATACTTCCCCTGTAATCCAGCCAATATGACAGCACAGACACTCATTAATATTGCTGAAAAAGAGAACCACACATAGGATTTTTACAAGTTGACAAATTTGTAACTCTCCAAAAAACAAGCTTACAATGCGAACAAAAAAGGCAAATGTACCTGATCCTATGACAAGAGGTTTTCTTCTTCCCAGTCTATCGGAGAGAAACCCTCCTATAACAGAACTAAAAAGTATTGTGCGCGATTACTATCCGTGAAGACATACAATAGCTGGGTTATATGGGCGAAATCGGTATGGTTTTAAAGGTTTTGTTAAAATATTATGACGCGTAAGGAAAGACGCTTTTGAGCAACGCACGTCAAACGGAAGTGGACGTTTCGCATTCTTGGCAGTGATTTTGCCCAAATTTCTGGCAAATCGTCTCTGCACGGGTAAAGACACTTAGCACTACTATAACTTGTAGCATCACAGTATATTAAAAAGAAAAAGGCCTCGCCGATGACTTGCGTCGCTCATAAACGCTTTTGCTAAATTTACATAGCAGGCGTCACGGCAAAAACTACAGTAGAGTTGAAATTATTGGTTGACTGAAAAATCGATGAAACTTCATTTCTTTACCGGCAATATTAAACGAAATACATATCAGCCACCAAAAGCTGGAGAATTGCTAGGTGGCAAAAATGCTGAAGAGCCAAAATTCTTTGTAACAACTTTTCTAGTATACCTTTATCTCCAATTTTTTATGCTAAAATTTTCATGAATGCCATTTCTGCCACGATAAGTTCTTACTTGCATCTTTTTTCTAAGAGGGTGTTGTTCGCCCTCATCTGCATATTACTTCATATCATACTTGGCCTCATCAGTTCAATGATAAAGATAATAGTACCTGATCATTTAATTTTTGATTTCAAGACTGGGTGCATGATATCAAGCCTAACCTTCGAGGGTAACGTTGTGCAGCCTCCCCGGTGCTTTTCTTTATCATTATCATTTTCCCTATCAATCACTTATCATTACCATTAACATCAATATTATTATTATTATCTTATTAACGTTCAAGTTTTTACAAATTGAACAAACTTGTAAGTGAACGAGTGAGTTTTCCTTGTTCCTAGGTTCTGTTAAGTGCCCCGGACTTACAATAACGCAGCAGAAAACAGCATCGGTAACAAAAGCATTGCAACACTTCGCTCAGGTGACCAGCAGTTTGGTAAATTCACCATATCTCCTAGCCAAAACTCTAAAAACCTGTTGAGTTCATAAACAAACAAAAGCAAACAAAATTAAGGCGGATCTCGGACGGGGCACTCCCAGAGAAATTCGTCAAAGTAGTGATGAAAAAGTGCGTCAAACTCCGCAATCCATTTGCTGATTGAAGATTAAAATTTTGAAAATCACCACACAGAAAAGTCATCAAAAAGTACACAGAATATTGTTAACATCGGTTTACTCTGGTTAAATAACAGTCACTAAGGTTAAAAAGTATCAAGGAAATGCAATATAGTTCTATGGGGCAAACTAAACTTTTTAAATAGACTTGGTTGCTAATTAAAACCAGAAACTCATAAGGGGTTGAACAACCCCTTATGGGTTTCTGTTAAAACTTGATAAAGGTGTTTATAATTTTGAAAAACGGATGGATGACAGCAGACTACATTTGTCTCATGAAAAAGACCCGAGTCGTGAATTGTCAATCCACCAGCTGCTTCCTCCCCAGGCCTTTAGAAGGCGAAGCGGCACGCGTGGACTTCATTGCGTGGGACGAGCGTGGAGCACGAGCGGGAAATGATGGGAAGAAAAATTTTTTTCCCTTCTCGTCTCTCACTTCTCTTCAACATAAGAGATCAAGAGCGACTGGGAACAAGGCAGATCTAGCAGGCAGGCTTACCCAGTTACTGTAGCAACACCTTGCTGCATGAGAAATCTGGTGAGAAACACCCATCTAAAATCTCTCTCTGTTGAAAAACAACAACAAAAAAGAGCATATTAGAATATATCACACATACACATGATTGCAAACTGCTCACGTTATATTTTGTTTTCACTCACCTTTCAGTGGCTCCCAGTAAGCTAAAAATACAGTCTTCAACCCTATAAAAAAACAACATTTACATTTTACTTTTTGTACACTTCTGTATTACGAAGTAAAAGTGAAAAAACAAATCGGCACATCTATGCACATATGCGAGAAATTAATGCAAAAAACACAGCAAATTTAGTTAAAGTCAGAACTACAAATACATGTATCCTGGACAGATCAGGTACTTAAGACTATCACATTACTTTGTAGCTGAAGATTTTCAAACCAATAACAAAAATAAAAAGTCAACATAATGTATGTCCAACAACTCTTCTGGTTTGTCAAAGTTAAATGGTGACCTCATCAGATATCTGTCCTTTTCAAGACATCTTGTCCTTTTTCAGGAAAAAAAATACTTGCAGGCCTGATAGTAACTTCTCACCCTAAGAGAAAGCATGATATTTATGATCTTTAAAGCACATAGTGAAGAAATTGGTTACTTAATGCACCTCATATCCACTTTTATGGATTCCTGTCTCTAGTCGAATTACCAATGTGTAATAACAGAAGTGACACCAACTGACATTTAATTTCACGTCAAGTGAAACAAAGCCAGATTTGATACATGTTGTGCACTGTACAATAACACTCCATTACTCACCAATGGGCTTATGGGTCACGTTTATGGGGGGCTCAGGACATGACACCACTGTGAGGAACACGCATATAAAGTACAGCACAGCCACCAGTGAGTATGTACCCACAATTCCAATTTTCTAAAACAGGGTGAAAGAGAAAGACCTCGGGTAAGTCATGTCCTTTTGGACCGAAATTCATACTTGCCTCCAAGTCATGAACAAGTACTGGTGAAACAAATTAAATGGATTTTTTATCTCTGAATTGCAGGATGATTCTTTTGTTTTATTCCATTTCTGCATTGAAACTAGTCTAAAGTACGGGGTATTGGTCGTTTCGATACAAAGTCGTTTCAATACAAGTTCACTCAGTCGAGGTGTAAATAGTTTCACGTTCCACTCATTCCCAGGGTATTCCCTTACAAACTGGGAGCATCCAATTTTATAAGGGAAAAAACCGCTGGAGACAAGGTTGCAAGGTACCACTGCACTCTGTGCCCAGTTGGGTGCAAACCCATACTTAACCCTTTAAGCCCTAATATCCACATACAAATTCTCCAAACTGATCTTTATATATTTCCTTAAAGAATGAGTTGAGAGAATTTGATAAAAGATCAAAGAAAAAACAGTAGGTGATCATTTTATTAATTCTCATGATCAAATCTCTTGACAATGTATGGATATCGTTAAGAGAAAATTGATCTTGGTCACTATTGGGACTTAAAGGGTTAATCAATCTCTTTCAATATGTGTGGAAAGCTTGATAAATTACTTCTTTAATAGCATTTTTAATAAAAAATTAATGAATCAACTCCAATATTTCACCGTTATGTGTATTTATTTTCACGTATGAGCAAATTGCCAAAAAACTTCACCTGAATTGGGCATTCAGAAAGTTCAGCGTTATTTTGAAATGATTATCGCATTGTTTACACTCTTAGTTATAGATCTCAGAATGATGTCAAAATTTTACGGTTCCTCCTGAGTTGGAAAAGATTCATCAATTAGATCTCAAAAGTTTTAGTCTAGAATCCGCTGAGGTTGAAACTTCATGCAGTATGGACACTCTCAACAATGAAAGTAACTCACTTCTCTGTTTTAAAAACGTTTCATATCAGTTATAATTCAATTAGAAATAGTTTAAATGTTTACCAGTCTTCCAATTGTGCGAAAATATAATGAACTATTTTAAAGTTTGGGATTATCACTTTGTCTTCTTTATAGCTACATTATTATCAGCAAATATTAATCCATCTTTCAGAAGGAATTATATAGCAATTCACATTCAATCTTGTTGTTTTGTGATAGATTGATTAGTTGTGCAAAGTAAATACTCACCGGAAAGAAAAACCCAATGAGTGCTCCAGTAACATTTCCAACTAATGTCATGGCCCCCATCACACCGGAACTAAAGCCTGTGATTATTGTTTTAAGTTCAATTTATAAGAATTGTTTTTAATTTACATTTAAAAGGCATTATCACTACAAAAGTAACTCAAAAGTCAAGTACGGGTCAGAGTATTGGTGTTTTTAATTATATTCTCTTTAAAACTTGGTTTTAGTAAATGTTTCCAAAAACTAACTTCACTTTAAACTCTGTGGTGTAGGTTGTTGCTTGTCAACTTTGTTGAAAAATCACTTTCACATATTATTATAGCGACATTGTATTTTTCTTTCATCATTATTATTTATGCAGTATTTTTCTCTCTTTTATACTAGCAGGGTTTTGCACAATGTGCAAACTCCAGTAGTCAGGTCAAGAACACTGTAATACTCACCTTAAATTTTTTGGATGAATAACAATAGCGGTGATTTACTAAATTTCAGTAACTTTTGACATCATTTATTCATACATGTACATACAGTTAAACATTTTTCCATATTAAACAACTACAGTATCAGAGAACATACATGTATCTATTAGTTTAAAAGCATTTAATTTTATTTAAATTCGAATTTATTCTTTACCTAGTTATAAGTAATATTATTAATTTGCATCAAAAGTTTCTAAAAATTTTTTTCTGAGAGTTGACAGCAACCCCTACTAAATAACAGATTAAAAATAACCAAACAGTTCTAAGTCATTGCCACATGGTATGTGTACAACTTACCTCTTTGAAATGAAGGTGTCAAATCAGCTATTAATCCATTATATGGTACGCTCATAATGGAATAACATGCCATAACACACAGATAAAAAGCTATGTACAGACCTATGGAAAAGGAAATTGACTTCTATTCAAATTACAACATACACAACAACAGTAACTGATAAGCGACTTATAGTCACACTATCATCATAGCCTCACTGTTAGAGGCTAAGACTCACTGAGATGCTCACCAAGGTTATTATTTGGTGTTATGGAGCATGAATTTATTCTAATTAGTATATGCTAATAATTATCTGTAAACCATGATATATGCATATACTAATTACCATAAACTTGTGCTCCGTAACACCAAGTTGTAACCCTCACCAAGACCTTGTTCAGAAACTGGGAAAAACACTTGAACCAAAATGTCTCCAAATCCAAAGTGGAAAGAAACACACAAAACAAGACTTTGCTACTCATAAAAAGCCCATACACGACTCTGAGATTTCCAGATTAAATTGATTATCCCTTGTTGCCACCAGGAATACCGCTTTCTTCTCACTAACCACCAAACATTTCCATAGCTTCTACATATGTGTAACTCACAGGAATCTTACCCTTAACAATAAGGATTTAAAATAAATCAAACCTCCAATAAAGAATGTAACATCTTCACTTTCAGAGTTAATTACGAGTCAATTAACGCACTCTTAAAAATATTATTAATTGATTTGGAGTTTGAGAAAGAAATTTTGTGGTGAAACAAAATTCATTCCCGTTGAACCTCTCTAAGCAGACTTTTAAGTGGTACAATTTGCTCCTTCGAACAGTTACAGCTGTAACATGTATTTTAAAACAAAAAAAGGCCATTGGGTGCCTCTGAGATACCTAAAGTTACTTTCAGTCTTTTAGTATTAGTTTGATGTACACTGTAAGTTCTGCTCTTGACTTATGATCACAAGTTAGTGCCTCTGTGTATTAAACTGCCAGTAAATAAAGAGCAAGGAAATGTAGTCAACACAAACCTATATTTCCTCGTGAATCTTCTTTCTGCATGAGGATACTAAGTAGGAAGCTTTCATCAGATTCACTTGTCATGTTATCTTCTTGCTTCTCTAACACTGACAGGTTAAAATAAGGAATACATCTCCGCAGCCTTAAATCTATGGAACACTGATGGAAGAAAGATATCACAATAAGAAAAAGATTTATAAAATCTCTTTACTGTGTAGGCACAAGACAGAAAAAACACTTCTGAACCAACAAAACAACAGCGAGTAACTGACAGTAAGGGTTTTGATGGTAGTGGGATAACAATAAAAAGAATTAAACAATTAACTAAATCATAATGAACTTACTGTTACATTTGATATGTCACTGCAATCAAAACGAAAAGAGCTAGCAGTTAGTAAAAGTTGAAATAAATATTGATTATTGATATCTTATTTTTGCAGCATTAATACTGTGTACTGGTGCTTGTACATGTATGTACAGTATAATATCATGTTCTGGTTCAAGTTTGTGCTTGGTTTAAATTATGTTTTGCTTTAATTCATATTTAAACCACAATAAATACACTGTATCATTTACATTTTTTGTCACCTGACTAA